CATACTTTCTTCTTCTAATACTTGCAATTTAGTTTTTTAAATGGGAAAAAAATTTTAAAAGATGGGAGAGATGAACTTTTTGAGGGAAAACTTCAAAAGTGTTTTTTGTAAAGCCCCTAGTGAGCTGGGCGTGGTGGCGCACGCCTTTATTCCCAGTACTCGAGGAGGCAGAGGCAGATGGATCTGTGAGTTCCAGGACAGCCGGGGCTACACAGAGAAACCTTGTATCAAAAAGCCAAATAAATAAATAAATAAATAAATAAATAAATAAATAAATAAAGTGTCATAAATATAAAAGTCCCTAGTGGTTGTTTAAGTCTATCTCTGCTTACAAAATGAAGGAAAAAAAGAAATAAGAAAACAAAACTGAAAATTCGGCTTGGATAATAAAAAATTTCTTTATGTAGATGACTATACAGATTTTCTTTTTTCTTTATTTTTAGAGTGATTTTTACATCGTAGAAGGAAACATTGTTAAATATCTTTCATTTTCATAGTGTATCCATACAGATTAGCAATTCTATCTTCCTCAACTATTTGGAATATACTATTAAATTCCAAAGTGTGGGCAGGAGAGGCAGCCTAGTCACATGCTTGCTGTGAAAACATGAGGTCAGATCCCCAGCCCTGTGGGGTGGCCTATCTGTAACCCCAGTACAGGGGGATGGGAGAGAAGCCGCTCTGTAGCTGGCAGCCAGTCAGTCTAGCAGAAACAAGCTTCAGCCTCAGTGAGGGATCTTGTCTCCAAAGATAATGTGGAGGCTGAAGAGATGGCTCAGTGGTTAAGAGCACCTGTTGTTCTAAAGAGCTGAGATCTGTTCCCAGCACCCACACTGGGCATCTCAGAACTGCCTGTAACTCCAGTGGATCAGTCCTCTCTGGCCACCTCAGGAACAAGGTCACATGGCGTAGAGTCACACAGACACACATAGATAAAAAACAAAACAACAACAACAAAAAACAAAACAAAACAAAAAACTACACACAAAATTAGGGGGAGAAGTTTTGAGAAATACACCAGACATCGACCTCGTGGCTCCACAAGCACATGTACACATGCATGTGTGCATACACACATGTGTGCCCATATATGAACATACACATACAACACACACACACACACACACACACACACACACACACACACACACACACACACCACAGCAAATGGGTAAGATTCTCAGTGCCTATAGCACATGATGTAAACGTTAGTTCCGGGTAGATAACCAGGGGAGATCCCATTTCTTAGGGCTAGCTCTCTACATGAGAGGCAGCAGCATATTTACTGTTCTTAATTCTAAAAACACATCTATGCTTGTTGCTAAATGTACTTCATTGAGTTGTTAAGAATAGACTCTTAACTCTAATATGAACTGACAAGATCGTGTCTCAGTGCCAGTCAGCAGAAGAAGAAAACACACATCTGGGAGAGAGTCGGGAAAACTGCGCACCTTCCTTAGATCTAAGGCACACAGACACAGGATAATGTCCTCTGCGTAAATACCTAAGGGGCTATGTTTATTTAAAAGTCCCTGTGGTGAAAGAAAGAAAGAAAGAGAGAGAGAGAGAGAGAGAGAGAGAGAGAGAGAGAGAGAGAGAGAAAGAAAGAAAGAAAGAAAGAGGAAGAACCCTGCTGGTCATCTTGGGAGCAGCACAGTAGAGCTGGCCCTGGTGGTGTGGGTGCTGGTGACAGGCCCTCTGGGCTATGAGAGCAGGAGAATTGGCCCCACCCCTCGCTGCCTGCTGCATTGGGTGAGCTAGCTGGGGCAGTGGTGGAGAGCTGGTGGAGAGCTGGCTGACCAACCCAGCTACCACCTAGGCCTGGAACCAGGGCTCTGAGTTGGACCACCCAACATCCACTTCATCGATGAACTGCTGGAGCATGTGAAGGGGCCGTTCATGCAGACCCAAAGCTGCAGGATCTCCACAGCACAGGGCAACAACAGGATATCCAAGAGGAGTCCCAGTGAGGGCCCAGTATGGATAGTGTGGCAGCAGAAGCCAGAGGTCTCGAACCAGACAATGACTCATTGGAGTGAACACTTTCAAAGTAAAGATGTATGGACAAAAGGGTTTACTGGGTGACTCATGTGTCACATTACAGCTTCCATGATGTGATTTTCCCCTTCCTTTTAAATCTTGTTATATTTTATTTTGGGGGGAGGTTGCAAGGGCAGAGGGCAGATATGAAGAAACAGAGAGATGAATAGGATCGGGATGCATGATGTGAAAACCACAAAGAATCAATAAAAAGTAAAAAAAGGAAGGAAGGAAGGAAGGAAGAAAGGAAGGAAGGAAGGAAGGAAGGAAGGAAAATGAAACTTGGAGAAAGGTTTGGATAATAAAAATGTACCTCTGGAGATATAGTAATCTTATTTTGATTTTGACCTATAAATTCTCTCTTTTCTGTGTTTTTTCTCTTTAAAAGATTTTCCTATGGTTCCTGCTGTCAAAGGCTCTGTGGTGTGCTGGTTGAGAGCATGGCTCTGGAGCAGGCTGCTAGGGTTTCTTTCACTCGTGCTATGTGACCTGAGACATGTGACTTACCTTTACCAAGTCTTTGTCTCTTCCTCCGTAGAAGGGGAGTGAAATGACTTCAGAATGTGACGCGGGGATTAAGAACTGAAGACTGGCAAAGCATTTAGACCGGGGCCTGTTGCATAATGTGAACTCAACTGTTACTGTGAAGTTCCTATATTACAAGTCTCTTCCTTGGGGATTTAATTTTATCCATATATTGTTGTTCTCTTGTTGTGTGTGTGTGTGTGTGTGTGTGTGTGTGTGTGTGTATGCAGGTGTGCATGTGCATGTCTCTGTGTACACACACAGGTATGCATGTCTGTGTGTGCATGTACACATGCAGGTGTGTATGTATCTCTGTCTCTCTGTGTGTGTGTATATGGGGATCCAGAGGTTGATGTCTGGTGTCTTTCTCAATCACTCTTCACTTTACTTATTGAGATAGGGTCTCTCACCAAACCTGGAGCTCACCAAATTGGCTAGGCTGGCCAGCTGGTAAGCCTTGGCATCCCCAGCACTGGGATTACAGGTATGCACTACCATGCCCAGCTTTTTCATGTAGCTTCTGGGGGAATTAAACTCAGATTCTAATGCTTACATGGTAAAAACTCCTCAGCCCAGCTTTATTTTATAATTGCAGGTGCATCTTTGAAACTGTATTATTTACTTTAGGTCTGTGGTGCTATGGATCACACCCATGGCTTTATGCATGCCAGGCAAGTAAAGCCCAACTGAACTCCTGTCTCTAACCCTAGTCACCGGCTGTCACCAGGCATGGGCATTAGAAAGCCTGCAAAAGGTCTGGGTCTGGGGGTGCAGACCTATAATTCAACCACCGAGGAAGCTGAAGCAGGCCATCTGTAAGTTCAAGGCCAATATGGGAAACCTAGTGAAAGCCTATCTTAACAATATTAAGTAAGGGGGCTTAGTCGTTGAGATGGTTAGTGGTTGAGAGCACTGGCTGCTCTTCCAGAGGGCACATCTTTGATTCCCAGCACAGAAATGGTGCTCATGCCCATCGGTAACTCCAGTTCCAGGGGCTCTGACACCCTCTTCTAACCTTGGAAGGCACCAGGCACGAATGTGATACCCATACACAGATGCAGGCAAACACACACATAAAATGAATTTAAAAAACATTGTGTTTTTTTTTTAAGTAGTGAAAAAGAAAGTGAATTACAGCTCAGTAATAATACCTAAAAAAAAAAAAAGAAAAGTCTGCAACAGGATGATATGTGGATATAGAAATATAAATGTCTGTCTTCATAATACACGGGAATTGACTTTTTAAAGAAAACTCAAGTATCTCTTTGGAGATGAGTCAGTTTTTATCAGGACATTTGGTATTGGTCATCCATATATCCTTGTTTTATTTGTTTTCCTCCTCCTTTCTTTTTCCCCTCCAGGTTATGATCAACCCCAGGGCCTTACATATGCCAGCCAAGTGTTCTTCCCTTCGCCCCTTCAAAGATTTGTGTTTATTTTTATGTATGGGTGTATTGCCTGCATGTACAACTGTGACCACGTGTGTGCCTGGTGCCTGCAGTGGTCCAAAGAGGCATCAGATCCCCTGGAACTGGAGTTATGGAAGGCTGTGAGCCTCCAGGTAGGTGCTGGGAATGAGGCTGGGTCCTCGGTGAGAGCCGTGATTGCTCTTAACTGCGGAGCCATGTCTCCAGTCTCTGATTAATACAAGGCGAAGCAAAACAAACAACAACAATGGAAAAAAATAAAAACCAAAACCAAAACCTATTACATTTAAAGAGATAAAGTAATAGCACTGTGGATAAGCT